AAGGCAAAAGTGGCAACTATTTCTCTATATCCAGTAAAATAAGTTATCTCGAATNACTCGGTATCGAATTAACTCGTGTCAATGTAGCTCGCTTGAAATGGAAGTGTTTATATGCAACAAAAGAAATGAGTCGATCGAACACTCTTTCAAACAGATTTCATCCCGATGCAACCCTGTTAATACATGTGTCATTTCTTGAAAATAATAAACATGGAAAAATAATAATTAAAGATCCAAACAGCCATGAAAAAACGATATTAGCTTTTAATTTTATAAGAAAGCTTAGTCTAAAAGTAATTTCAAGAACTATTTAAATGTTTTACTTCATACAAANTCTTAGCTCGGTTGCATATTTCTCGGTCCGAAATTGTAAAATTTTTGTCCATGCCGCGCCACAANACTTAGCTCGGTTGCATATTTTTCGGTCCGAAATTGTAAAATTTTTGTCCATGCCGCGCCANTCCAAACAGCCATGAAAAAACGATATTAGCTTTTAATTTTATAAGAAAGCTTAGTCTAAAAGTAATTTCAAGAACTATTTAAATGTTTTACTTCATACAAAGTTGCATGAAACAACCGTGTGGTCAAATCCCGTGTTTATATGCACTCTTAACACGATTCAGCAACTCTTAACTCGCATTCAAAATGTGATTTATGGTGGCACGGTTAATAGTTTCAATTCTATTTGAGAATGTGTTTACATGTGTGTGTCCAAGTAACATGGTTTGAATTAGAACGAATTGAAGCATCATATAAACATGGCATCACTCATAGAATTTTTTCGTAGCTATGTATGCGCTGTATTTGGCGANATTTTCTATACTTCAAAGCTTTTATAAAAATATATTTTCATATATGCACCGACGATTTTTAATATTTTTCNTAGTTTCAATTCTATTTGAGAATGTGTTTACATGTGTGTGTCCAAGTAACATGGTTTGAATTAGAACGAATTGAAGCATCATATAAACATGGCATCACTCATAGAATTTTTTCGTAGCTATGTATGCGCTGTATTTGGCGACCAAATAGGCTTATGCTTATACATACGTCTTTGTTATTATACCTTTCATGAGCATGAAATGGTATTATAACTTTGGTCCGATGTTTGAAAGTACCAGAATAAGAAGAGATAGACCCATTAAAATGTATACTTAAATTATCAGAACATCGAGCTGAGTCGATTTAACCATGTCCGTCTGTCTGTCTATCTGTCTGTCTGTCTGTCTATCTATCTGTCTGTCTGTCCGTCTGTTTGTATGCAATCTAGTCTCTCAGTTTTCAAGATNGTCCACTGTACATGTCTATATGAAAATATGCATGGATGCGAGTAAAAAATGCCAATTCCAGTTAGTGTTTAACCCATTTTAGCGGACATGGTTTTTTTTGGTTTCAGCTGGTTCCAACTGTTAATGAAGCACAATTTTTATGGTTAATCTTGATGAAAGTTACATGTATCGTCGAGAACATGGTANTTATGTAGCTATGAACATGATATTTTGCAATACTTCCACCCATTACACTATGCGACAGTCAAAATCGGGATGGGATGAAACCAACGGGAAATGTTATATCGGTCAAAAACAAGTTATACGTGACCCGGCGTTTCGCTGGGTCACGTCTNGCGAAAGCAGAACAATTTATAAATGCATACATACTTACATTCTCATTTGTTTGTCTTTTTGGATGCATGAAAAATTTGGTAGCAGAAATAGGTAATGAAATGAAGTTTACANAAAAATATTTTTTGCCTAAAATATTAAATTTTTTTAAAACTATAGGTCACATATTTATTGCCTCCATAAAACTGATTGTTGAGATATAGGGCTTTACTGTAAAACTCCGTTATTTAGACAGCTAAAGTCGATAAATTTCGTAAGCTATTTTATAAATAACTAGCTGTACCCTGCCACGCTTTGCTGTGGCATATTCCTGTTACATGGATGATAAATGATTAACGAAACAAAGCATACGTTTCAGATAAGTTTAATTTTGCAATACTATCTGGTTTTGCGACACGCAACATAGATTTTTCCATGTGAGAAGCAATCGGCATCTAAATCTAAACCATTCTTTTCCAAAGGTTGACCTGGAGCATTACTGATTGTGATTCCGAATGCCAATCGGATTGGGATTTGCCATATTTTAAATTGAAATGGTGTATCGGTCGGAATCATGGGAATTCACCTTTCAAAGGCCACGTTAAAATCTTTGCTTTCACTACGTTCTTCATCAATTTCTTAGTTTCGAGTCGCGTGCTATTGCAGAGTTTCGGCTGATTAATATTCCGCAACATGATAATAGCCACACCTATTTTCAATTTCAGTATATGGGGTCATCCCTGGAAGATCAATCGAGTTCAAAAATTCCGTTGGATAATTAACTGCTTCATTTGTTTCCACAACGGTGTTTATCGACATACATATATCTATGTTATTTTATCACTTCGAATGCTGGATTGAAAAACATTATTGAGTTGATAGACATCTGTTCCGTAACCAGCAATATAATTTCAGTTTCAAGTAGGGTATATATGTTCTCTTATACTACCTTTCATAAATATGTATGAATGTAACCTTGTAATTTCATTTCACATCAATACATAGCTAAATATACATATGTGCATAGGTTCTTTTATCCCATACGATTGTATTGTAGTCCAGTTATGTACGGTAATATCAGCCCATAAGGCACCTGAGGTATTTATATTTTCTGGAGTAGACTCGTTTTTTTGGTTTCGCTTCAGCATCACGTGGATGCAGTAATATTTGAGTAAAACTTAAACGAACTTAAAATAAATTTGCGTTTGCCAAAAAATCAAAATCATTCGCTTTTAATTTACAGTCCGCTGGCTTAGCTACATAAAAAATTGGTCCATCGTACCGGATCAGGCGCGAACGAGAAAAAATAAAATAAAAATATAATTTTATGGTTTCGGGTTTTCTTAAATTTCTGCACCAAGTGAGGGGAGTAAAATGCAGAAGTTGAAGGCGAAACGATCCTTGCTAAAAGGAGCGGTCACACGCATCTTAAATTTCGTGACTAGCAGTGGAGCTGATTCTCCAGTGGCAGACTGGGAATGCCGTTATCACTGCGAAATTGCACGCGTCTGGCGTATCAAATGTTTTTGAGTCCACTCGCGGAGACTGTTCGGTTGCCGATATTTTATCANTGGAGCGTCTTGAAGAGGTATGGAGTGAATACCGCGACATCGTTCGAGCCATGGTAGAGAAGAGCGATGGCGAGGAGGAGGCCCTGGTGGAGATTCAAGTAGATGCAGAGGAATTTGCAGAGCGCGTGCTGAACACAAAAGGTAAACTTCGAGCACATATCACTGCGAAATTGCACGCGTCTGGCGTATCAAATGTTTTTGAGTCCACTCGCGGAGACTGTTCCGTTGCCGATATTTTATCATCGCAAACGGAAGTTTTAAGTAATTTGGCCAAGCAGGTGTCTGGACCAAATTTAAGTTTCATGCCAAAGTTAAAAATCAAATCGTTCTCTGGGGAGTTAACTGAGTGGAAATCTTTTCATGATTCGTATGTCACTTCCATTCACAACAACTCGGTGTACTCAGCGTGTCAAAAGTTTCAGTTGCTGAAGAGTTACTTGACGGAAGCAGCATACGAGTTAATTGGGCATATTCCTGCGACTAACGATAATTATCTAGAGGCATGGAGTAAGCTATGTGCGCGCTATAATAAGCTTGGTGTTATAGCGCATACTCAAGTTTCAAAGTTTCTTAGTTTGACAACTTTAAGTAGCCAATCTGTTTCATCTTTACGTAAATTATATGACGGAGCTGACGAGGTTATTCGTGGATTGCGCGCACTGGGCGAACAAGCAGAAAAGAGGGACATCTGGCTAATACATATTCTACTCGGTAAACTCGATTCGACAACTGCCAGGGAATGGACGAAGTTCACGAAATCAGACAACGATTTTCCAACATTAAATGAGTTTTTGACGTTTTTGGACAACGCATGTATCACGTTGGAATCTGTAACACCGGCAGCCACATCGCGTACGGGAAGCCGTTCAGTTGCAGTTAAGACACATCAAACGACGATAGAAATGAAAGTTAAATGCCAAAAATGCGGCGGTATACATGAGTTGCATCAGTGCAGAGAATTTCTTAGTATGGATGTTAAAGCTCGCAGAGCCTTTGTGGCCACTAAACGCATATGTTACAACTGCCTTAGAGTCGGTCATATATCAAATAATTGCCGCTCAAAATTCTCGTGCCGTAATTGTCGAAAACGACACCATAGCCTCTTACATGAAGATAATCAGCAAACGCAGAAGTTAGAGTCATTAGTGGACTCTGCAGTTAATGTGAACTTTCACGCGCTACCTGCCATTAACACTCTTTTGCCGACAGCGGTATGTCTGGTAAGCGATAGCTATCAGTGTAAACAGTCGTGTCGCTTGTTGTTGGACAGCGGTTCTGAGAAAACTATTATATCAGAGAGCACCGTCAGTCGCTTAGGGCTACATCGAAAGCATGCAAGAATACCGGTACATGGTTTGGACAACTCAGCTACTGGAATATCGCGCGGCTGGGTTTCTCTTCAAATAACTTCCAGTGACAACAATAATACGTTCACAGTCGATGCGCTAATTATGCCAACAATTGCATCGTTTATGCCGGCAAATGAACTAAATAAAGAGCAGTATATTTCTTTTTTGTCTTTAGACTTGGCGGATCCATAGTTTTTCATACCTGCGCCAATAGACATTCTTTTGGGGAACGATAAATTTTTTGAAATTTTGAGGGGCGAAAAGATTAGAGGAAAAGAACAAAATTTATGTGCTCTTTCAACATCACTGCGGTGGATCGTAGGTGGCGATTTAACCAACAATGCGAGCAATAGAAGCGTGGGAGTATTTCTTAATAACGTAGACATCGACCAAACACTTACACGATTTTGGGAGACGGAAGAGGTCGAATACGCACATCAATTGACAGACGACGAGCTAAGGGCAGAGCAATCATTTTCGAGTACGTATACGAGATCGGACGATGGCAAGTTTAGCGTTGAGCTTCCTTTTAAAACTAAAGTTAACAATTTTGGAAATTCTTTTGAGTGCGCACTTAAGCGACTGCAAGCAACAGAACGCAGGCTTGCAGGCAACCCGGATCTAAAATCGCAGTATTCAAATTTTATGGCGGATTACATCGCTTTAGATCATATGGAGAAGATCCCAGATGAGGAAATTAGTAAATCACCTAACGAGTGCTGCTATTTACCTCACCATCCCGTTTTTAAAAACGATAGCACAACAACGAAGCTACGCGTTGTTTTTGATGGATCTGCACGTAGTGGAAGCCACTCGTCGCTGAATGATGCGCTGCTTATTGGGCCATCGCTTTTGAGAGAGATTTTTGATATTTTACTCCGGTTCCGTCGACATCGCTACATAATGTCTGGTGACGTCGAAAAGATGTACCGCATGATTTGGGTGCACGATTACCACCGGGATTTCCAACGTATTTTGTGGCGAAGTTCACCCGAGGAGCCGGTGAATCACTACAGGTTAAAAACTGTGACTTATGGCACAGCATGTGCACCATTTCTTGCAGTGAGGGTATTGGAAGAGCTTGCAAAAAAATCTCAAGACACTCATCCTTTGGCATCACAGGTAATTTTCAATGATTTTTATATGGATGACGTTATGACAGAGGCAGAGTCTTTTGACGACCTTCTTAAAATCCATAGAGAGCTAGTTGCTCTTCTTAAAGGTGCAGGTATGAATTTGCGTAAGTGGAGTAGCAACTGCAATGAGTTACTAAATTCTCTTCCCGAAGTAATGCGAGAGATGTCGCCTGTTAACTTGGAGCCACCGAAAATGCTCAAATTACTTGGAATGAAGTGGAACCCTGTTAATGACGTATTTTCATTTTGCCTTTCATACTCTTCATCGACAGTGGCAACAAAGCAGTCGATACTGTCAGATGCGGCGCGCATATATGACCCTTTAGGTTTTCTTACACCATGCACAGTTTTGATAAAAATGTTTTTCCAAGAGCTGTGGCTTCTCAAATTAGACTGGAAGGACGAGGTTCCGACTAGCGTTTCGGCACATTGGTTAAAACTCAGAAGCACACTTTCAACAATAAATTCATTGCAAATTCCAAGAAGAGCATTGTTCGCACTAGGTCGTAACGAATTACATGGCTTTTGCGATGCTTCTCAAAACGAGTACGCTGCCGTCGTCTATTGCCGTTCTGAGTATGAGGGTAAAATAACAACTCAACTTGTGGCTGCAAAGAGTCGCGTCGCTCCGCTCAAGCAAATATCTTTACCTCGTCTGGAGTTATGCGGTGCTGTCCTTCTCTGTCGGCTGATGAATCGTGTAGTGAAGACTCTGCAATTCGATAGAATGGCAGTTCAAATGTGGACGGACTCATCGATCGTTCTTCATTGGTTATCGGCTGTGCCGCGGCGCTGGTCTGTTTACATCGCAAATCGGACATCGGAGATATTGACTAGTTACAAAAGCTCTCAATGGCATCATATTCGCTCATCACACAACCCAGCTGATCCCGCTTCTAGAGGCGTATGGCCTTCGGAACTACACACATTGAACATATGGTGGTATGGTCCCCCTTGGCTCAACCAACAAAAGGAGTTCTGGCCGAAGTCAAGTGCGTTGTCAGACATTCGTCATGGCGATCTAGAAGAACGTAAGAATCAACCAGAAGCTCACACTAAACTCTTCTTTCTATCTACAGAAGATCATATAATAATTGGTCCACTGTCATCGCGCATTTCAAAGTGGTCTCGACTAGTGCGCTCTGTGTCATATTGTCTACGATTTATTGGTTCTGTATGCAAACGAAAATATGAAACGTTCCTGTCATCTAATGAACTCAAGGCTGCTACCGTCTTCATCATACGTGCCGTTCAAGAAGAGCTGTTCTCAACTGACATTGCTGCCATGAATAAAAAAATCGCCATTTCTAACAAAAGCAATCTTTTGCCACTATCACCATTCTTAGATGACAATGGAGTGCTTAGGGTAGGCGGAAGAATCAAAAATTCATCAGCATCATTTGACATTAGACACCCCATCATATTATCTTCGAAACACAAGATTGTCGAGATGTTAGTTAACTATACACATATTTTACATTTGCATGTTGGGGTTACACAGCTTATATTTATTCTGAGACAACAATACTGGATTTTGGGCTCGCGAAATCTTGCGAGAAAAATTGTTCATAACTGTTTAACGTGTTTCAAGCTGCGAAAGTGTACTCAGACGCAATTAATGAGCGACTTGCCTATAGAGAGGGTGAGATTCCAACGACCATTTTCTAAGGTAGGCTGCGACTATGCTGGTCCTTTTTTACTAAAGGTTGAGATAGGCAGACTGCCGCGTAAGGCCAAGGGCTACATTTCTCTCTTTGTATGCTTCGTAACAAAGGCCATACACTTGGAGCTAGTCGGCGATTTAACTACCGAAGCGTTTATTGGCGCCTTGGATCGTTTCATTTCAAGGCGTGGACAACCGGAAGAAATTTGGTCTGATAATGCGACAAATTTTGTTGGCGCTAAACGTAAACTTCATGAAATGTACCAGATTCTGGAAGCTCAACAACGAAGTTCCGAAGTTGCAGATTTTCTTTCTTTGAATGGCATTACTTGGCGTTTCATACCACCTTCATCACCACATTTCGGAGGGCTTTGGGAAAGCGGTGTGAAATCGGTGAAAACACATTTGAAACGAGTAATTGGCGAAACAACTTTAACATATGAACGATTTTACACGCTCTTGGCTCGTATAGAAGCGCTGCTGAATTCGCGACCACTGTGCCCTAGCAATGATGGAGAAATTGATGCCCTTACTCCTGCTCATTTCTTGATTGGGCAGCCATTTACTGCGCGAGCAGAACCTACCGTCGACTCGGCTGCAAATATACATCCGCTAAAGCAATGGGAAAAGGTAAAACACATGGCGCAAGGTTTCTGGAACCGATGGCACGCTGAGTATCTCACTAGTCTTCAGCAACGGAAGAAGTGGCAAAACGAAAAGACGAACTTAAAACTGCACGACATCGTTATCGTTCGCGAGCCTAATATACCTCAGTCGCAGTGGATGCTTGCAAAGGTTGTAAAACTTTTTCCAAGTTCTGATGGCAAGGTGAGAGTAGTTGCAATAAAGACCGCAAGAGGGGAGTACGTACGACCGGTAACCAAACTCGCATTGCTTCCTTCCTCAGTAGGACCTAGGTCCTCCAGCGGCCCGGAGGATGTTCCGTAACCAGCAATATAATTTCAGTTTCAAGTAGGGTATATATGTTCTCTTATACTACCTTTCATAAATATGTATGTAATTTCATTTCACATCAATACATAGCTAAATATACATATGTGCATAGGTTCTTTTATCCCATACGATTGTGTTGTAGTCCAGTTATGTACGGTAATATCAGCCCATAAGGCACCTGAGGTATTTATATTTTCTGGAGTAGACTCGTTTTTTTAGTTTCGCTTCAGCATCACGTGGATGCAGTAATATTTGAGTAAAACTTAAACGAACTTAAAATAAATTTGCGTTTGCCAAAAAATCAAAATCATTCGTTTTTAATTTACAGTCCGCTGGTTTAGCTACAACATCCTTATTCTTCGCGGCAAGAATAGCTCCTTCACTGAGCCAATCGTGATTTCTATATTTAGTTTGAATATGCGGAAACATTCTTTCGATCAGTTCTCCTTGCAATGTTTCTATGTGACAAAAATTATCAGGCAACAAAATTCGTCCTAATCTCTCATTGACTGCAGCTTTCCGTTCCCTATGTTCAGTACTTGTCCCGAGAGTACCTAGGCTGATTAATCGCTCTGTACTTGGACACGCATATTCGTAATCAACTGCAATGTATGTATGTTCGTCTTGCCACAATGTTGAATACTTCAGCCAAGCATTTATCTCATCCGCTTGAGTAAATCGAGATATTACAGGCAATGTTTGCGTAAAATCTCCTGCGAGCAGTATCAATGCATTTTTGAATGGTTGAACATTTCTACGCAAATCTCGTACCGATCGATCAAGAACCTCAAGAGATTTTTTGTGTGGCATCATTCACTCGTCCCAAACAATGAGTTTACATTTTTGTAATAAGTACTTTTCCTATACCGGATGTTCTGGAAATATTGCACATGGGAGTTTCGATGATTTGTATGTTCAATGGCAGCATAGGAGCTCAATGAGAAGTGTTTCCACCTGGTAACAATGTCGCAGATATTCCAGACGAAGCGGGAGCTACGACTATGTAATTTTTTCATCGAACCGTTGCCACAATCTTTTAAGGAATGTTCTCCTAGTTCCTCCTGGCGCATCCAAGTAGAAGGTCATTTATCATTTGCATCTTCTTACCACCAGCGGATTGGGAGTCGAACACTTTTAGACCTGGAATGTCGGTTCCCATTCGAACGCCAATCGCTTTGCTTCGTTATCCAACTTGGAAAAGGCAGGTCATTGGCATACGCCAGAAATTACACGCCCTTGTAAAAAATTGTTCGTGAGTGGTTCCGTTCTGCTGCACTCATTATTAGATATTCCAGACGAAGCGGGGGCTTCCTGGCGCATCCAAGTAGAAGGTCATTTATCATTTGCATCTTCTTATTTGGCGCTGTAACCGCATACGCGATTTTAGCCGAGTTGAACAAAGCCCGCCAGTCGCTTCTCTCTGTACCAACTTACGCCAA